GCCTGCCTTGGAGAAAGCATTTAAAGTGTTTAAAAGCTTTGGTATAGATGAGTATTTCTAGTTAAAATGTAATTACCTTCCTTCTGGTTTTGTTTTTATTTTATTTTATTTTTAAAGTACTGTTAACTGAAGAAAGCTAATGCTTGTGCATTTTACTTTAGGTGATGTGGAGAATGGGGAGGGGCATGAACATGTTGTTCATGCGGTGGAATTGATTCCCAGAAGATCTGACCTTCCTTACAGGTACGTGTCAAATATGGTTTTCTTAAAAGAACAAGAAAAATCTTCACCCTGTAGCTGCCAACTTGTTCCCTAGTGCATAGCTACTCAGTACTGGAGAACAAACTATTCATCAGGGTACTTTTGCAAGTGTTTGAAAAGACAAATGCAAAAGCGAACACTTCCCTTTTTGCATAGTTTCATATATTGAACTTTTCCTAATTATCTTCAAGTCACTTAGTCATGTCAAGTAACAGGTAGACTTAGCCTTCTGGTTTTGAAAATAGGTTTTGTGTTGGTTTTTATGTTTGTTACTGTGTTCTGTGTGCCCTGTTGATTTGGGTCTTTTTGAGTGTATTCGTAAATCAGACTCACAACAGATACATTAAAGGATAATTAAGCATAAGTTGATTGTGGGTGAATATGATGACAATTCTAGTTTCTGGAATGCTTTTTTCTTAAGTTTTGAATTCAGGATTTTGTTTTCATTTATTGATGATATTGTACTTTTATGACTAGAGTGGAAGTCAGTCCTCCAGCTCAAGTGAATACTTTAAGCAGTATGTTGCCTTCAGCCACTGTGCCAGAATCCATGACAATTCGTAAGTACTAGATTGATGGCATTAACTTTGAAAGTCCTATAGCTCTTCATTTCTATTTTTATTTCAGTAAGATCTGTTTAGAGAGGAGGCATACAGCACTTCATTTCTGGTATGCTGGCCACATCAGAAATGATTGCTCTAAAATGATTTTTGAATTGGCAGATCCCAGGTTATGGTTCATTGCAACTGGTATGACATTAACTTCCCTTTCCACAGGGAAGCTAATGTCACCCTGATACTAGGTGTGGCTTGAGTAGTTAAATGAACAATAAGGATTTAATTTGATTAATATCTTTAAATCTCTACAAGCTCTGAAAACACTAATGGTTGGTTCTGATGCGATCTTCCCTATTTTGCCTGCTTTCATCAATGCCTAGTGGGAAACGAACCACAACAAACCCAGAGCTCTGTACGCTCAGTCAGTACTTTTGACATGGAAATCTACTCCAGACATAAATATGGGCTTTTGTAAGCGAAAACTTCAGTTAAGATTAAGGTGGAGGACAGTCACATTTTCAGTGATCTTAGGAGTTGAGGTGGACAGGATAATGTAGCCTTTGCTGTAGAGAGATTAGTAGAAGTACTAATCTCGACACAAGGAGGATATTTTTTACAGTGAGCATGGTGAAACACTTGAACAGGTTGCCCAGAGAGGTAGTGGAGGCCCCATCCCTGGAAACATTCAAGGCCAGGTTGGAGGGAGCTCTGAGCAACCTGGTCTGGTTGAAGATGTCCCTGCTCATGGCAGGGCGGTTGGACTAGATGACCTTTAAAGGTCTCTTCCAACCCAAACCATTCTATGATTCTAAGTATGGGCAGTTTGTTTCCCCCATCTTTCATCTTTTTTCTTCACATAAACTTGTAGAACACAGACTTGGTTCTTAAACTGACTAGCTGTCTAAACAGGTAAGCCAGTACGTTTTTGTTTTCCTCACTGTACAGAAAGTTCTGTAACTGAACTGGTTGGTATGGCTTTGTTCCTGAAGCTCTGGGGTGTGTGTTTGTCTGTTTCTTTTTATGAATCTAAAGATGTGCAAATTTTTAATACTGATATCTGGGAAGTTAGAAGTGATGCTGCCAAAATTCTTTTCTGAAATTGATGCATGAAATTATCAAAATTAGTGAACCCTTAGGATATTCTAATCTCATGTTCTAATGTCATGTTCAAACAATATCTTTGTCAACATATGTTAAATGAAATAGACCATTTATTTTCGCTGGGTACTGTTTCAGGCTCTGTCATGGGTCTGCTGACTGAGCTTCACAAAGCTGAATAATCCTGTCTTACAAAGTGCCTCGTGCAGTGGGATACTAGTTTGAGACTTTCAAGGGACATAGTTGAAGGTGTGGGTGGAGTTACTATTGATAGTTAGTGTGGTACTTCAGTCACTGGATATTCTCTGCGTATATTATTAAAGAATCATAGAATCATAGGTTGGAAAAGACCTCTAAGATCATTAAATCCAACCGTCAACCCAAGATCGTCATGCCTGCTAAACCATATCCCGAAGTGCCACATCTACACATTTTTTGAACACCTCCAGGGATGGTGACTCAACCACCTCCCTGGACAGCCTCGTCCAATGTCTGACCCCTCTTTCAGTAAAGAAACTTTTCCTACCCTCTAATGTAA